AGAGCTCTGATGCTCACGACAAACTCGTTTGTTCATAAAAAGAGCTCGGGAGCCCACGACGTACTTGTTAATTCATAAAAAGAGCTCGGGACCCACGACAAACTCGTTAGTTCATAAAAAGAGCTCAGCAGCTCACGAAAAACTCGTTAGTTCATAAAAAAGTTCGGGAGCTCACGACGAACTTGTTAGTTCATAAAAAGAGAGGCGAGCTCACGACGAACTCGTTAGTTCATAAAAAGCTCGGGAGCTCACGACGAACTCATTAGTTCATAAAAAGAGCACGGAGCTCACGACGAACTCGTTAATTCATAAAAAGAGCCTTTAAGCTTACGACAAACTCATTAGTCCGTCAATAAGAGCCTTAGAGCTCACGATGAACTCGTTTGGTCATAAAAAGAGCCCTAGAGCTCACGACGAACTTGTTAAGTCATAAAAAGAGTCTTGGAGCTCACGACGAACTCGTTAGTTCATAAAAAGAGCCCTGGAGCTCACGACGAACTTGTTAGCCCATGATAAGAGTCTTAGAGCTCACGATGAACTTGTTAGTTCACACAAAGAGCCCTGGAGCTCACATTGAACTTATCAGTCCATAAAAATAGCTCAGTAGCTCAGGATGAGTTCTTCTATCCCTAAAGCAAACGCAACAACTCAGAATGCACTTCCCGGTCCAGAAGAAGTAAAAGCAAGACCTGCAGCACGTAGACTAGAAGAAAAGCTTCACAGCTTTTATCCATTACAAAAAGGAAAAATGGGGGTCTTTGGTCCACAAGCCAGGAAACGACATGGAAGATCAGCTGCCAGATTCTCAAAGCCACAAATTGTGTATAAGAAGCGGCAAACATGGAAAGCGAAAATCAAGGTTTCAAGAACATCAAATATTACAAAAAAACCAGCCAAAACAAAATTCTTAGTTGTCTCTGCAGTTTGGCTATCCTTTCTTTCAAATGCAGGTTCTCCTCCTTTAGCTCATCCCTCTCCTTCTCAGTCGTTGACAGTAGATTCATCAATTTTTATCCAGCAGAGGAAAATAGAACTTCCCCCAGAAAAGATCTGGATGAAGAAAGGATGAACCATCCCTCTTGTGTTTCTTGATATGAGTCCCAACATCTTCGCTCTCAGCAGACCCGGTAGAAGAGAGATCAAATTCAAGAAAAAAAAGGGAAAGTCCCGTTTAGCTGCAGCGGTGCTAAACAAAAACAGATTATTTGGCGTCATGAGATCAGGAAAAGACATGAGCTCAGCTTAGGTCATTTGTTCCACCCTCGTTAATTCAAGCAGGTTCAGGTCAGGAGCACCCACATGCAAAAAAAAAAAAAAATTCCCATGCAAACTTCGAAGTCGTTGATTGGGAAACCATTTTGTTACATCTTAAGCTCAGCCCTTGCCCAAGCCAGCTCGACCAAGAGTTGGGGGGCAACTGATGATACCTAAAATAAATTTCAAGTGCTAAGTTTAGGAGGTTAGGCACATTAGCAGAGGTCAGAGGGTAAGGGCTGAGTGTCTCTTAAGATAAGATAACAGCTGGATAACCATGAAAGGATCCTAAAGCGTTAGGAAGCTGTAATCAAGGCATCCAATTTCAACCAATCAAAACCTTCTCCTAGAATTAAGGAGAAGCCCACGAAATAAGGGCAAGAATCTCGAATAGATGGCGAGGATCACGAATCAGATCCCATAGATTAAGGGTCACCCCTATAAATATTATGTAATGCCCCCAACAGAAGAGGAGAACTCGAGTATCACATCTTATATTCTGTAAACCTTTTGGTATAGTAAATAGTAAAGGAAAGAGCAAAAAATTTCATTAAATAGTGAATTAGCCGAACTCCCGAGCTAGTGAACCACTATATTTTTACTGTGTACACCCTTTTAATCCCCTCAATATTTTGTTGTAGCATCATACACGAGCCTCAAAACTCTGATCCACGCTCATCTCCCGTTATTTGCATCTTAAACTCATCCACGTTTAAATACACCATCAATTTTAGTTGAAAACCCTTGACTCTTAATCTTATTATCCTCACCTACGTACCCAAAGGTTTCCAAACGTAGTTGTTCGATTAGGTCACCAAAGTAAAGGTCAATTTGCCTCGTAACGAAGTCTACGATTTTTAATTAGATTTTTAATGTGACAAAAGGTTAAACGTAGTCGTGGATGTTCGTATCTCAATAGCGCCTACAGATGCTGAAATCGCGATGTTCGTATCCTTGCAAGTGTTTGACTTGTCAATGGTACGAAATTGCTGATCTTATAAATTATAATCAATAAATTAAAAACTACTAAGATTATTGTCAATAAAAATAAACAATTTGATTGGATGGAGGTAATTAAATATTTTATAAATTTTAGAAATGAGACATATGGGGATATTAGGCTTCTCAGGTCCCTCACCCCAAAAAAAAAAATAATCAAAGGTTTTTTTTTAAAGTTATTTAGAATGATTAGAATTTAGAATCTATCACCATAACCAAATTAATGGGAATAAATTACTTGCACAAAAATAATGAACAAAATTTGAAAAATTTCAGTTGAACCATATGACACATTCCATAATAGAGTGAATACTTGAGAAATTCCACAATAGTGGGACAAAATGTTACTGGGGCAATAGCTTAGAGTCCAATTAGATGTGTTTTAAGGATAAAAAAAATTAGTTGCATACTTAATTATAATGATCAAAATTTAATTTCAAAATTGTGGAAACGTTTTTTAAGAAGATTGAAACGAATCAGTGATTGAATTAAAAATTTTAATATATAAAATGTTTCGAGATGTTTCTGCATATTTTCACCAATATTTCAAAAATATTTTTAAAAATAGAATTGAAATATATAAAACTTATAAAAAAGTATTTTCAAAACATCTTGAAAGATTGTTTGAAATATAGAAAAATTTAATGACTAAATAACAATGTTGGGAGTAGTTTTTGGTAGGGTTAATAACTGAGTCAAACTACTCAGGCTCGGTTTATTTAGAGTTTAGTTCGAGTTCGACTTGAACTTATTTTTTAAATAAGTCGAGCTTGAACAATTTTCAAATTAACCTAAAAAGTTTGATTCAATCTCACAAAAATTAGTTTATTTATATATAAATTCGTCTAAACGAGTTGAACTTGAATAATTTTTTAAACTCATTTAAACAAATGGCCAAAATAGATTTGATTTGGGCTCGTAAATTCATCCGGAGACCATAATTTTCGGCTTCGAAAAGAAAAAAGAAAGCGAATTTAAAAAAGAAGACAAAAGAGTAGAGGGGAGGGAATGAGCTGGATAGAGAGGATCTCATGTAGCAGTGGGGCAGATACTGATACGGATATGGATGCCGATACCGATATTGATACAGATCAGAGAAATATACACAAGAGAGAAAGAAGAAGATATGGGGGTGGGGGAAAGTGCATCGAATCGAGAGAGAACCCAAAAGGATCACGAAATATCTGTGACCACCCCTTTGATTTTATCTTTTGCTGATTCGTATCCCCTCACATCTTTCCCAAAGAAGATCCATTCACGCATTTTCTCAAACACCTTCTGTTATAAAAACCAAGCCCCACAACGCATTGATACCTCCATTATTATTTACTTTATCTTTTGATCTCCGCCGGAATCCCCTTCATTTTCTTCTTTGTTGCCGCTGTTGTTTTTGGTTCTTGGATAGATTTAGCAGTGGGGTTTTGTTTATTGGCTTGAAAAGAGGACATGGATGTTGCTGGTGGTTCTGGTTCTTTGTTAAAGGGAATGGTGGATCATGGGGAAGTACCTCATGTACTTGCTGTTGATGACAGTCTCATTGATCGTAAACTTGTCGAAAAGTTGCTGAAGAACTCCTCTTGCAAAGGTAATGACCGCTATTCCCCTGTAATTGAGGCCGCATTGAATTTTTATTATGATAACTTGAACCCAACTTTCCCCCAGAGAAAACCATGTTTTTTATGCAATCTACTTAGTTTTCGTTTAGATTACACCACTCCTGTCATGGTGTTATACCCTTGAAAACCGGCTTGCGAGAGAAGGGTGTACAAGATTTCATATATACATATCTAATCTTATTAAGATCATAATATTCTACCATGTTTCCATAGCTGACATTCACGGCAGCCCACTATATTAACATTAGTTCAATAGTAGCTCTTTTTCTTTGGTGGCTCTATTCACCTATTATTATTTAACGTGATATTGCACTACATCCATCCATAATACCAAGTACATTTTAATCCAGCTTTTAGATCGCCCTTTTCTTGAGATGAACCCATGACGTGGTGTCTAGCTCTAATACCAAGAATCCATGGGTAAAACTTACCACCTGACAACCGGTTTGCAAGAAAAGGGTAATCCAGAATTCACATACACACATGTCATCTTATTTTTAACGGGGATTGTAACACAAGGACTATGTCTTAATCCAATTCATCCTTCCTAAGACACATTTATGGGATTAATAGCTTGCTAATTTATGATGATTTGAGGAAGTTAGTGATTTATGATTTTCTACAGTGACTACAGCAGAGAATGGGTTAAGAGCATTGGAATATCTGGGCTTGGGAGATGATCAAAATAGATCGAATGGCAATGTAAGTAGCTTCCTCTAGACATACATCGATCTGGATGTATGTTTATAATCGTTTCTCTTATTATGGACCATTAAATTGGTGTACATATCCACAAAAAAATCACAAGCTCTATCTAAATTTGTGAGGTTCAGGCAGGGTCTTGTGATTCAATATAAATGATGGTTTTACCACAATTCATCTCTAAGAGAGTATTTGTCTTGTAAAAGTATTTTTTGCAGGGTTCAAAGATAAATTTGATAATCACAGATTATTGCATGCCAGGAATGACAGGATATGAACTGCTTAAGAAAATTAAGGTACTATGAATTTCATGAGATAATTTTCTTTAATTTCTGTTAACTTTATAATTACAATTGCAACCTTGAGGGAAAGAATTTTTGCGCAAGATTAACGTTGATCCATTGTAACCTAGAGGTGTTCTAGTCGCATAAATAGTCTCTCTACATGCGGGAAAATGTTGTGTACATTCAACTCTACTCAAAGCCACAGAGGCAGAAGCTCATGAACTTGGCCCCCTTTTCTTAATTACTATTGCAACCCCATTTATAAATTCCTTTCTGTTGATCCATTGTAACCTAGGTGTTCTAGTCGTGTAAATAGTCTCTCTAGATGTGGGAAAAGGTTGTGTACATCCAACTCTAAAAACCTGCAGTGGCTCATGAACTTGGCTCCCTCTTCTTAATTACTATTGCAAGTTGCAACCCCATCTATAAGTTCCTTTCTGCAGTTTGAGAATTTTTATGTCCAGTGACATGATCTTGACCATCTGTGTCTTCTTGTAAGCAGGAGTCCTCTATCATGAGTGAAGTTCCAGTTGTAGTAATGTCATCAGAGAACATCCCAACTCGAATCAACAAGTAATTACTACTGGCCCATGTTTTCTTCAATGTTGTTCCATTAGTTTGTCATTCAACCTTTCTAACACCTTCATGCTTGAACAGATGCTTAGAAGAAGGAGCTCAAATGTTCATGTTGAAGCCCCTCAAGCAATCAGATGTTAAGAAGTTGAGATGCCAAATGATGAAATGTGGACGGTAATCACATTTACTGTGGACTTCATTACAGAAAATTTGTACACTATATTTTTGTAGGTCCAACCCCCCACCCAAAAAAAAATTTAAAATACATTTTTTTTTTCTTGTAATTTACTTATGAATAGAGTTTTTTTTAGCTAATTAAATCTAACCCTCTTCCTGCATACGGATGCACTAGATTAGTAGTCTTAATGCGTACTTTTTTTTCTTTAAAATTTTGCCATTGAGATTGAACTATAGAGCTGAAATGCGGTTGATTAGGTGATGAATTTTGCATGTAGAGCAAGTTCTATTGAGTAATAATTGATTGTAGAATGGGATTTTTGGTTTGTTGAAATGCTTTTGGTGTTGATGGTGATGCCCTATGATCATACCATCCAAAGCACTGCAAAACAGGGTGACAAGCAACAAAAATGCACACCTACCAGGTGATCTGAATACACAGGAGCCTAGCAAACAAGGGCAGCAACAACCTGCCAGGAATGGATCATCATATGGGTTTATTGCTTCCATGATGATGAACCATATTCTTCTTTAACCTGGTTATGAAAAAATAGCAAAGACCCAGAACTCATTAAGCAAAATCAAGACTACCCACATCCTTATATATAAATGCCAAAAAAGGAAAAGAAAAAATGAAGTGATAAAATCATGACAAGAGATACAGTTTCAGTTCCAGTCTCTTGAGCGTTTACCTTAGCTTCTGTTAATCCAAACCTCTGTTTCTGCTTGGAGATCTGCGGGGCTGCAGCTATAGATTTCAGACATAGAACCAATCACTATATCCACTCAACCTTACTGTTGATAATCAAGATAATCAAACTGAGCTTATGCGAGTTCGATCCAAGTCTGTCGAATTTATCATTCAATAGAAATTAAATTTACAAATTGAAACCCGAATTGATCGAAATTAAAATCAGACTAAAAATCAAAATCAAAATTAAATGCAAAATCTCAATTCAGTGCACAGCCACTGCCATAAATTTACACCCACCACCTCTTTATGCAGCCACCATGCTGCTACACATGTACACCATGAACCACCACTTGAAATTCTGCCACTTTAGTCAAGCACCTATAGAATTTTACTTCGACCTATTTACAAACCCATAATTCAATCCAATGAAAACCTAACCTAGATATGACAATTAAAAAATAATACGGAAAGAAATCGGTGGGGGAGAGAATTAGAGAGTTTTTGGTGGGGGCAGGTGGAGTGGTGGTGTACTCATGAGGGTGAGAAGTAGAGAAATGGAGAGAGAGATAAAGGCAAGATAAAGAAAAAGAGGAAGAGAGCGAGAGAGAGACAACGATGGATAGAGACATAGATGTTCCGTTTAGTAACAAGGATGGAAAGTAGGAGGGATACACTTTCTATCCTTCAAGGATAGAAAGTAGAAATGATACACTTTTCTTTATTTGTGTTTTGTTGGATAGATGAAAAAATAAAAATAACTATTTTTTTTTTAATTTTTTTTTTTTGTGCTGGCCAAGATTAGGGGTGATAATCGAGTCGAGTCATGTCGTGTTAAGTCGTTACGAGTTTTTGTCGAATATTAGTCAAACTTAACTTAACTCATTTAACTAATTGTGTTGTGTCGAGTTACGAGTTGATCTGTTTATCTTCGTATCAAGTTTGAGTCGTGTCATCGTGTTGAGTTTAAAATTTTCACTCTTAGTTAAGATGAAAAAAAATATTTTTTTTTAATTTTTAATTTTTTAAAAATTTATTTTTAAAATTTTTTTAAATATATATATATATTTTACCATTGTATTTTTATATGAAATTAATGTATACATAAGATATATAAACAAATAAGATACATCTCAACACAAATAATTAATTTTTCATCCACTTTTCTTTCGATTTTGGAGGAATTGATTTTAGTGAATTGGAAGAAAAGTTAATTCATTCACTTTTCCATCCTTCCTACTTTCCTTCCTTATCAAACATGATATTTTTTTTATCTCTTCAACTTTTCATCCTCCCACTTTTCCATCGTACCAAACGGAGCATGAAAGTTGGCTTGGCGGGTTGATTGGTGTTCGATGGGTGTGGAAGCGTGATTGCGAGTTGCAACAGAGGTTAAGGGTGGAGGAGGCACGAGTTGTGTTGAAGAGAGAGAGAGAGATTGTCCATACCTTGCGAGTGGAAAAATTAGGAGAGTTTCGGGGAGAATTTGCTGGATCTTTGACATGGTCACCTTGAAGAGGCAAACTCGAAGACGTGGACTCCTTTTCTTCTACTATTTTCACTATTTTGTGTGTGTGAGAGAGAGAAAGAGATGGGGAAAGGAGAGACAAAGACACAGGGAAAGGATGGAGAGAGATGGTCTTCTTGGAATGGTGGAGGTGGCCTGGTGGTGGTGGAGGGCGCCATGGCTGTTCGCCACTCACCAATTGTCACAGGGAAAAGGTTAGGAGAGAAGATTTAATGTAATAAGAGAGAATGTTGTTCTATTTCTTCATTTTTTAACATGTCAAAAATGACCAAATTATCTTTATCAATAGGGACATGCGATGCACGTGATGATTTTTTGTCACTAATATTAACGGCTACTAGAGCAAAGGATTAAAATAGGTTTACATATAGGGATGACAGTGAATTAGAGAAAAATGAGTATTCATCTAAATCTGTTTTATTTAGATCGGGAATGGACCATAGGTATTGAACGGTAGACTTATATGGAGATAACTCGTATAAACCCGTGTGAGAATGAAGATTTGTAAAAGTGTAGATCTTTATATTTTTATATTTTTTTTTGTGTTAGATTATATTATGTTAAATATTGGGTTTAATTTATAAGGGAGGCAAACTTTTAATTATATTATATTATATTATGTTATAGACAAAGTTTTAATCTATATAATAAAGTAACTTAAAATTTAAATCTCATAAGATAAGCAAAATAATTTTTGTTATTCGCGGTTTAGATCGTTTTAAATTTTACTTTAAAATTAATCTAACGGCTAATATTAACACCATATTTAATAGGAAAAATAGACTCATAAAGGTGTGTTTGGAGTGACTTTTTAAAAATACTTCTATAAATTATTTCTCATAAATACTTTAAAAAAAATAGTATTTGAAACCGCTCCATTATTACCTTTACCACCACCGCCGCTGCCGCTGCCATTGCCGCCACTGTAATACCCCAATCCTTTAGCAATATTCAAAGTGCTAATTACCTAAAAATGAATAAATAATCTCTCGATAACTATTTAAATTATAACTAATCGAAATCTCTCATTCATTGATCAACCCAATTTTTCACCAAATTTTACTCCAAATTCAACCAGCAACTGAGATGGTAAATGGGGGTGAGTTGGGGAAAGCTCAGTAAGTAATTTAAAACATAATATACGAAGTCAAAGGGCGACCCAATAATTTATCAACTAATTGATAATCATTTAATGACACAAGAATTAATACGATAATTTACAGAGTACAAATATATTGAACAAGTCAGTGAATTCGAACATTTGAACAATCAAATCAACCATAATTGAACATTTGGTCAATCCCGACAACAAGCTAGACATTATTCGGTGCATTTTAATTCAATCATGTCTATCCCACGGGGTCACAAACACGAATTACAATCATAATCATGCCACCAAATATATTTCATGCACGAGTTAGAAAAATCTTAAGTATTCCACCAAAGCTAACATCATAGCAATTAACGACGATTCAAACGAAAATTATGACCGACATCGAAATATCAACAATTAAAAGAAATATTTTTTCAAAATTCAAACCCAAACAATATCACAATTCGAATACAAATAAAAGAAATATTTTTTCAAAATTCGAATACAAATAGGACGATATCAATAAAATAATCTTTGCAAATAGATTAAAGGAGTGCATATCATGTATAAACCACTTACAAAATTCTCAGTAGAATTCAATATCTAATACTCAAGAATATCATACTTGAACTTCAGTTAGATCGGATCAAAAACCTCGATTCAATTCTCTTGTAAATTTCTCTATTTGGATCTCTTTCCCATGTTCTTTATTTTCAACCACAACTTAAAACTTTCATTATTTTCCTTATATTTCCATCCACTTGCTCTTTCCAAAGCACACACAGAATATTTGCTCTAACATTCTCTCTAAATGACAACACACACACTTTCTCTAATGCTCCGTTTGGTAGGTAGAATAAAAAGTAGAAAGATGAAAAATAGGAGGGATACATTTTCTATCATTTTAGGATGGAAAGTAGGAAAAATACATTTTTTTTCCTTTGTGTTTGGTTGGATGGATGAAAAATAAAAATGACTATTTTTTTTTTATGATTGATAAAATTAGGGGTGATAATTGAGTCGTGTAGTATCAGATTCGTATTGAGTCATTACGAGTTTGTGTCGAATATTAATCAAATCTAACTTAACTCATTTAACTAATTGTGTTGTGTCGAGTTGCGAGTTGATCTGTTTATTTTCGTATCGAGTTCAAGTCGTGTTATCGTGTTGAGTCGAAAATTTTCATTCTTAGTTAAGATGAAAAAAATATTTTTTTAATTTAAAATTTAAAATTTTTTAATTTATTTTATTTTTAAAAAATATATATATATATACACACACATATTTTACTATTGTATTTTTATATAATATAAAAAGATATATAAACAAATAAGATACATCTCAACACAAATAATTAACTTTTCATTCACTTTTCTTTCGATTTTGAAGGGATTGATTTTGGTGAATTGGAAAGAAAGTTAATTCATCCACTTTTTCATCTTTCTTACTTTTTTCCTTACTAAACATGATATTTTATTTATCCCTCCAATTTTTCATCCTTCTAATTTTTCATCATCTCACTTTTTTATCGTGCCAAACGGAGCATAAATGACAGCACACACACTTTAATTACACTAGTCATAACCGCCACCTCACCATTGTTATCTAATTTTTTTTTCCTTCATTTGTCTTTTTTCTTTTGTCTTCTTAATGTAGGCCATTCACGTTAACGATGGCCAGCCAACAAAA